GCACACATTCCATACTTCATGTTTTGAATGATATTGGCTCCTACAAGCTCAGCCCAGCTGCAATTCCCATTTCTCACGTAATGATTATGTTCAATTCCGCCGTCAATCCTTTTGCTTACGCTCTGATAAACCAGCGTTTCAGGAATAAGATGAAAGAAATGTTCTGCTGCAGTTCAGTGAGGGTTCTTCCTCACAGCGAACTAAAGGATAAAGATCTGGCTAATGGTATGTCACTTAAACCGAAAAACACAGCACACTCGAGCCTTCCGAAATCATGAGCTGCAGCGCAAATTCGCACACATTATGCGTGTGAACGACCTATTCGCATAACTACAAGCCGTGACAAGCAGTTTTGCCTGGAATTTCCCTCTCGGAATGCTGTGATGGGTTCTAACTTTGCTTCTCGACGTAACGATATTTTAACGTCTTCACGGACAATTCAGTCTGTCACTGTTTCTTGTTATTATTAATCTTGAAACGAAAATCACGTTAACAAGTAATTGTGAATAAAGTCAGGAGCAAGGATAAGCACGATTAAGGTGGCTGAACACAGTTTTGCAGGCGGTCAGTGGTAGCGGGTGTTTTAAGTTAGACATACAAACATAGCGGCGAAAAAAACAATGGTACACAGAAGACGATTTCTCAAAATCTGCTCTATAAAATTTTGTGATATTTGGCAAAAGTTTTACTTTTATCGTATTTTAAATGATGCGAACTTTAAAATGGAAGTTGAACAGACGAACTTTGTGACACATTTAATAATTACAGTACAATTATATTATTGATTATCTAAAAACCCTCTGTTAAAACTTGGTCAAATAAGTTTCAAATGGTAATGATTAATTATAGTAGGCTGTGTACGAGTTTAAAGGAAAATCTAAATCTTATGTAAACTGAGCAAAAATGAAATTTTAATGTTGTATGCAATCGTTCATGCTGCCATGGAAACTACGAAAACGTCAAATTTTATCTGTCAGTCAAAATCTTTCATCAGTATATTTTTCACTTTGAGCTGCAACCTTTCTCTTGCCATAATTTGGCAAATGACCTATACTCAGAAACTGCCAAAACTGTGTTCAGCCACCTTAATCGCCCAAGTTCGATACATTAAGGTTCTAACATGATTCCGAGGCTATCTGTTCATTTTTCTATATTTGGTTTGGTTTTCTTTGTGTCCAAGTCTCTGCTGGGAATTTCGAGACAATGCGGTTGTGTAAAATTTGCAATTTTGATCCTAAATCTTCGATGTTTACTACTCAATGCTAGAAGTTTAAGAAATAAGTTTCTTGAATTGCAAGCCCTGCTGCTTGAAGATTACTTTCCGGTGATTGCTATCACGGAAACATGGCTTGACTCTAGCTTCATGGATTTCGATTGAGTCTGAATGACTACTGTGTTCATCGCAAAGACAGACAAGATCGTAGAGGTGGAAGTGTCTTATTGGCAGTACATACGGATTTAATCTCCATAAGAAGAAGGGATCTGGAGTATAATGATAATATCGAAACCGTCATGGTGGAAATTTGTCAGAAATCAAAGGACAATGTTCTATTTGGAGTGTGCTACAGACCACCCAGTGCTGATGTGGAGTATTCCTTCAAATTACGTCAATGTCTGGAGAGAATTTAGAAGACCAAATTTGCTACCTGTTATCTTGTAGGCGACTTTAATTTTCCAAGCATAGACTGGTATAGTTTAACTGCTACTTCAAGTGATTTATGTACTGTTGATTTTTGTGACATGCTCAATGACCATTTTCTGGTTCAATGTAATTTCAATCCAACAAGAATGCTTAATGAAACTGATGGCAATATACTTGATTTAATCCTGACCAAAACTCCTGACCTGGGTAGCGATGTTGAGGTACTGACTGATCATTTTAATTCTGATCATTTTCCGGTTAGTTTCAATATTAAGCTTTTATCTGGTCGCCCTCGTAAGTCTGTCTCAAGGAAAAATGACAACTTTAAAAAGGCAGACTTCACTGCACTGAATGAATTATTGAAGTATATTCCATGGAACTGTGCTTTCTTGGAAGAGGAAGTGGACACCTGTACTGAAAGAGTCAATGACCTATTACTAGCTGCTGCTGATATGTGCATTCCAACCTTTACTGTGAAAAACGAAAACTAATCCTCCATAGATTACCAAGGAAATTCTCAATAAGATCAAAAAGAAAAAAGGTTATAGAGAAAACTAAAGGCTCATCCATCAGAAATCCTTAGCCTAAAGTTTAAAGAGTTACGAAGATCCGTCAAGCAGTTAATAAGATCTGAGTATAAAAGATATCTAGAGCATCTGTCGAGTCAACTGAAGGTAAACCCAAAGCGATTTTGGAGCTACCACTCAATTAAGTCGAAATCAGAACGGCTTCCTGATGTAAACACCCACAACAGAAGATCTGCGATAAAACCTCATGAGCAAGCTACCATATTTAATATTCACTTTCATTCAGTTCTTTGTAAACAGAGTACTGCTGTACCGGCTACAAACTGACTTACAAGATCCAAGTTTTGAGGTCGTTACCAACCATGTAACATGTGACACTAAGGAAGTTCAAAAGCTACTTAGCTGTCTTAATGCTAATAAGTCTTGTGGAGTTGATAAAATACCTGCTCGTTTACTTAAAGAGACTGCTGACCCTTCTGCAGTTCCTCTGAGTATGCTCTTCAATTTATCGTTCAAACAGAGACGCTACCTAAATTGTGGAAATCAGCTAATATTACACCCATTCATAGGATGGTGATCGAGTGCCAGTAGAAAATTATAGAGGCATTTCACTCTTAACTATCTCTGGGAAATGCCAGGAGAGAATTGAGTACAATGTTATTTATGATCAGGTTATTAGATTCATACATTACTCTCTTCATGGGTTCCTCACTGGTCGTTCCTGCACTACTCAACTACTCTTAGTACATCACGATTGGTTCAAAGTGTTGGACAGGAGAGGTCAAGTTGATGTAGTATTTATAGACTTTTCAAAGGCTTTTGACCTTGTCTGTCATAATACTCTATTAACCAAACTTTACAAATATGGTGTCCATGGAGACTTGCTAAATTGGTGTAGAGATTATTTAACAGAACGTCAACAGCGTGCTGTAGTCAAAGGAGAGGCTTCCGACTGGTTTAACCGTAACCTCTGGTGTCCCACAAGGTTCTTTGTTGGGACCATTATTCTTCATAGTCTACATTAACGATTTAAGGGGGTAATTAGTAAGGACAGTTCAATTGCTTTGTATGCTGATGACAGTAAAATGTACAGGGTTATTAAGACTCAAGAAGATCTGTCTACTTTTCAAAGTGACATAGATAAAATTTCAGACCAAGAAATGTAAGATAATGAGAATAACCAGGAAAAAGTCACCCTTAGTATAATATTGAAGATCAACCTGTGGAAAGTGTTAATGTGTATAAAGATTTAGGATTATTTACTGCTAGTAATCTTTGAAGGAACCAACACGTAGATTAAATAACTGCTAAGGCTAATAGGGTTTTAGGGTTGGTTAAGAGGACTTGTAGGGAATAAAGGATATTGATACCATGAACACACTTTATTGTAGTCTTGTGAGACCTTTATTAGAATATTCATGCGAAACTTGGAACCCTCATACTAAACGTAACATTGATAAATTGGAGGCTGTTCAGCGAAGGGCTAGCAGATGGATCACTAGGTCTGATGATGATTATGATACTAGACTATCTAATTGTCTAGACTATCTGTTGTCATTATCTAGTAGGAGGTTCACTAGCGATGTTACATTCTTTTTTAATGTAATTAATGGACACTATGATATTGACATTCATTTCAGCTCATTTAACGTCTATTTTTCACAAGAAAAGGGTTTCATGAACTCAAGAATCTTTGCCTCAAATGGTCCAGTTGACAACTGCTTTAAGATAATTGAAAGGAAACCCAAGCCTTGCTTACGCACTGCTCACAAAAAAACAACTCATAGGACTAGACATTCAACATTCAACACATTCAACTTTTGAAATAACTGGTTAACCAGTTGAACCAGTAAAGATGCCCGTAAAAAATGCGTAAAGAGAGCACTTTACGACCCGCAAGAAAAGTAGCGTAAAGCTGCGTTAAGACGATCTTAACTTTTACTTGTTGCATGCGGGTTCGTAAAGATCCGTTAATAACGTTAGCCTCGTTATTACGACCAGGGTTTTATGGCCCAACGGTGGTCGTATTGTTGGGGTTCCATTGTTTTTTCTTACAAATTTGTTCACTTGAACAATATCTTGGTTCTGTTTTTAGTCAAGTCAAAAAAACCGGACGACGGCGATACAAAGTATGAATTATGCAACAAGAAGTATTGAATTGAAGATGTACCTTATTTGAATGTTAACACCGCAAGATTTTGTCCACCTAGGTTTTAAAGGTAGATAGTCAAATAATCTTACCATAATATGGCCTAAGAGAGAAAGGGTTTGAAAAAGCCGAACGTAGCAGAGTATTAAAAATACCTAAATTGAAACTGCGTGCCCACTCTCCTACCTAACCGCCACCCCACCCCCTCTCCCGTCAATAAATAGACATTCTTTCTTGGGCGTAGCGTACATAAAGATGATAATTTAGACAGATAATTATGGTTATCATAAAGTTGAACGTTGTCTCAATACTCTCTTTGACATGAAATAACAAAACAGTTAATTTGCTGATGATCTAGTTCGAGATATTAAACGAAAAGAGTCATTTGTCTTAATTGCCGAGGATGGAGAATAAGCCCTGCATCACGATACCATTTGCTATCATTTTATTTCTCCAGACTTAAAAATTATACTCCTAACCTTTCAAGAAATGTTATGAGTTGTGGGGAGTTTGAAGATCACAATGGCTAAATGAATGCGATTTGCGTGCGGACGTCATAGTCCTATGACCGACCCCTAAAGCGAATCAGACCAAAAACAGTTAATTTTTTTTTGCTGATAACCTAGTGTAAGAAATTAATCGAAAAGTGTCATTCGCCTTGATTGCTTAGGAAGGAAAGCAGAGTAACACGATCATCATTAATCTCTCGAAAAGTTAAAACTTCCGAGCACTCGCCGTTTAAAAATATTAGAGTTACATAAGGGATCGCCATTTATGAGCTCAAACTGTCCTGTTTGCGTGGAAGTAATAACTACACCTTCCTCTTTTCTGTTTCGTCTTAATTAAATACAGTGACGTCATTTACCATATAAGGAAGTTTTAGTTTGTGTCCGGTTTCAAACTTTGATGAAAAGAGTCACACTCCAACATTATTACTATTTGTGTTGATGTACTGTCTACAAAGCCTTCACCATGTTAATTAACTGTTAAACCGTACGTGAAATAAGGCGAGAAAAGGACTATATTCTAAACTCAGGTATCTATATTTCTTTTTCTCCTTAAATATCTTTACGTCTACTTTTTACACATTTTCCGATAAGAGCGATGGTTGAATATAATTTTTAACTCAAGCGTTTAAGAAATTCTATGTAAGATGATAGTTCAAAGTTTTTATAAACGGCGACATTTAATAAAAGTTTTCTGTATGGCTGCAGCTGCACTTCTCAAGTTAACCGGGTTAGTTTTTGAAAAACCCCGGTAAAAAATTCTTCACAAGCTAACCTGCTTAAAAGAGTTCAACCAGGTTAATTTTTATCAGCGGCCAGACGCAATTTAGACCTTCCCAAAGTCACTTCAACGTCGCGCGGTCTTTTGTTTTTTTTTGTCGTTCGCTTGGGTCGCTCATAGGTCCTCATAACGCTCGCCTATAAAAAGTGAGTGACAAAATTTGACCCCCTATTACTGATTACGAGAGGTCGACTTCTTTTAAGTCTTAATTCAGTTGTGTTAAGAAAGAAAAGCTGAACTTAGAGGGGAGTAATTTCGAAACTGTTGTTCTTGCGTGCATCGAAAGCCAAAATTTGGAACATTCTCACGACCTTTTAGGCGGAGATGATCGACTGATTGATAAGGTTAACCCGCGTTAAACTACCTCGCGAGGTGGTTTGAAAAAATCTAACCGAGTTAAGAAAATCGATTGTTCTTGCTTGATTTGCATAACCCGGTTAGAACTCGGTTAAGACTCTAGAAAACCCGGCCACACTCGCAGTTTTTTTAAACGAGTTAACTTTAATTAGCTAATGGGAAATAACTCGGTCCCCAAGTGCAGCCGCAGCCATGCTGTTTGGCAGATCGAAAAACTGTTATTGGTAAGTTCAGACAAAAAGTTTTGCGAGTATGTGTCGATCAGTGACTGAAGAATTTCCTCAGTTATTGAAGAAAGATAAAGCTGTCTACTGACTATTGCTTTTGTTGACAGTGCTAAGAGCGGTATCCAGTCGACGTGATATACAGGTCTAGACGAAGGAAACAGAAATTTGCATTATTAAAGAATCTCAAAAGAACCTAAAGGCTGGATGTTACAAGCAAACAGTCTATGTATGCAAAGCGTAATATGCTCATTTAGACTGGATTCGTTAGCCTGTTTCACTGGTTCAGATAGTAGAGCGCGCAGCGGTCAGTGGGGAGCGAGTTAAATTGTACACCGGGAAAACGGGGGGTGGAGCAGCGAGGGGGGGGGGGGCGAGTGCGAGAGTCCCTGTGAGATTGTTTGGGTGGAGTGGGAAAGTGGTATTGATGGGGATATGGGATGTTGCTGTGTGAGGGTGGTGTGTGTCGTTGTGTGGTGGGGGTTGGGGGGGAGGGGGGGGTGGGTTGGGGGGGGGGGGAGTCGATTGGCGCCGGGGGAACGGGGGGGGGGGGGGGGGGGTGGGGGGGGGGCGAGTGCGAGAGTCCCTCCCCCTACCCCCCTCTAGTCTCCCCTCGTTTTTTTTTTCTTCGTGAATTTTTCTCCCGCGCTCTACTATCTCAACGCCTGGAACACGCTATGTATTCGTTCACTCGAACTGGAATCGAGAGTTAAGCGACAGTTGAGTGTTTCCTACCACTCGTGAAAAGAATAATTTACCTGCATACTCTTACAGGTAAAATTTCTGATTAGCTACAATGGGTGTAAAGTTTTTGATATTATAAGATAAGAAAAACCCATATGCAGCAAACTATATTCATACATAAAAACATGATATATGATGTACCATGAGACATATGACTTGCTTCAATTAATCGCTCGCGATGCTTATTACTCACGCTTCTGTTTTTGATCGCGCTGGTTTTTCTGTCTTCCATTGAGCAGAAATATACCAATCGAAAAGTCTCCCTTTTATTGTAAAAGGAAAGGTTTGACTTGAACACTTACGACAAGTCTTTTGATAATGTTTAGATTTTTTTTGCCCTACTCGTTAGAAGGTGTCAAATGAGACATTAAAGAATTGGCGATCGTACGTTTTCATTTTGTTCTGGCCATTGGTTATTATTCATTCAAAGTATTTCTCCGTTTTGGGATAAGCGAAACCCCGGTTAATTCTTCATAAACAGCTAGGGATAAAAAATTTTGAAGGCAGTTTGTTGTATTGGTACCAATGACATTAATTGTACTACTGCCTAAAAGCATAGCAAGAGCAGCAAGAATACAAATCGATAGAAGACAACTGCTATCGACCACTCAAGAAAATACCATAACATACCATAATGCTCTTTGTTTAACACCCCAAAATTTTGCATAAACATTGTTTTCAGTTTCTCTTAGGGCCATTTCAAGACACAAGAGAAACTGAAGACAATGCTTATGCAAAATTTTGGGGTGACCAACAAAGAGCATTGTGGTATGTTATGGTATTTTCTGGAGTGATCAATTTGAAGAATCTCTGCTAGATTAAACATACCTTTATAATTTACCTCGGGACAGGCAAAATCGGGCACGTTACACCGATCGAGGTAAGTACGTTTCTAAAGAACAAAATATTTTGAATTGCAAAGAGTATTAGGAGAACTAACAGTTATTGAGGTCGGCTTTCGCATGATCTGAGGAATTGAGGAGCGAAAAATTGAATAGCATTATCTGAAAAATTATGCAGATTAAGGAGGGTAGTGTTTCAAAGAATTCTATTTAAAAACACAACAATAAATGCTAAATTATTTGATCTCAATTAGGATTATTACTGCCATCTCTGCAGAACTAACCAAGCCTAAAAGCGCATCTCCCGCATAAGACTGGCCGTGTGCTAGGAAAAAATTTAAGGTTCTGCAAGAAAATTCACTAAACCACTTAACCTAACTGCACTACTCGTAGTCTAAATAATTCTCCGTTTCTGGATGGTTCAAATCACGCGACTAATTCTTCATAACCACCTACTTTCGTTGAGTAAAATAAGAAGACGTTTGTGATATCAATACCAATAGCGTCAATTGCAAGGAATATTGACAGGAAAAAAAGACGTCAACCAGTGAGAAGCCCTGAGGAAGTTGCATCAGCTCAGCCGTTTTCTTAGAACTAGAGAAAATGGCAGAAACCAACCACTAAACAGATAATAGATAGATTTAATTCCCTTTTAGATTTCCTTTTTGGGCTTGTTCTCTTTGTCATATATTTACGACATTGTTGGACTGTCTGATAATTACATCAATATTTACGCTAATTATCTTGCGAATCATCGTCCTCCAATGACGTGCAATAAGAAAATGCAATATTTACTTAGACGTGCCCAGCCCGCGAAGGATGGTGGAATGGTCGAATCTTCGCCTCATGCAGATCATGTTATTTCCGTGATGCCTTGTTCACCTTTCATTTCAAGTGCTTCGTCTAGATTTAAAATCACTCGAACATGCAGTGGAGTAGGGTTTCGCTTTATTTTGAGCGGCAAAATAAAATTATTATGTTCACTATGGAGTTTAAAAAAGTTACCATGCAGTTGTAAATATGATCCTATGTAATATTAACTAACTTCAAAAGTAAACGAGAATAATTATTGATTACATTTCCCCACGCGGAACCCGGCCATTGGTAGCTGGTAACTATACACTACGCTCCTGCTGTCAGGAGTACTGGTGGTACACTGTATGTTTCTATGTCTGTCTCTCATTTCCATCACAGTCATCACATAAAGCAGCTGTCTGGGGCAAGTCTGTCTCTCGGTAATACTTTGCTTTTGGTTCGGGAACTGCTTGGAATGTGTCTTCAAAATAACCTAAAAATTCAGCTTATCAACAGGTTTTTTCGGGTAGTCTTTTATAGGTTAAATATCAATCGGTGAATTTTTCTTAGTAGTTTCTAATCTCGGCTGTTCTGTTTCTGTAATAGTTGAAGTAGTTTTTATAAGCGTTTCGTGTTTTATCATGTCATTTGTTTCACATTGCAAAAGCGCATGGAACACAGGGAAACTAATAATTTATTTTAATAATTTATCTTCTTTACTACTTGCATGCTTTTTAAACTTTTTAATATCAATGCTTCTAGGGGTACCTACAATTACACGTAATTACGACTTTTAAGATCTCCTAAGTTCGCCAATTTTCAAAGCCCCAAAGCAGGATTAGCAGACCACTTAAACCCACAGCTAACCCACTGTCAAACATAATCCTAGAGGTCCTGCAAAACAGATTACTATTTTGCCTGATTTGTTGTTCGGGTTTTTGTTTGCGACCGCGATTTAAAAAAGACAGTGAAAAGCCATTTAAGATTATTTTAATCAAGTACGATCGACTTTTCTCGAAAGCTTATTGTCAGCTTTGAAGATACTATTCATTGTTTATTTATTATGACTATCATTTATTCATTTTCTACGTTTTCATTGCTCTAATTTTGTTAAGGCCCTGACAATGGTGCCAGCGTGTTTTTTAAACGTGATGATATTAATCTATCCCTCAGCTTTAAAGATTTCTTTGCATCTAAAGGAAGACGAAGATAATCTTTTACCGAAGAAAGTGCAGCATATATATTTAGCTGTTTGCAAGAAGCAGACTGTAAGCTCTTCATTTGCTTCGGAAGGTTCTAAATCGTAAGTCATCAGCGGTTATGACAGAAAAGTAAGCTGGAAATCAATTCTAATGAATGATTTTCCAGTAATCGGATACCCATGTTTTGCGCACAGGATTCTGGGATCGCCAGGGGGCAAACATTGCGAGTCGCTACAAAGAAATGTATGGCGTGGAGCTGTTTCTCTGGTAAAAGCAGTGTCTTTGGACAGAGAATGCAACATTTTGCCGTAATTTTATGAGCAGCGGAGGTGACTAATGTTGGTGCGAAGAAATTGTAAGTTTTTGTGGGATCAATGCGATGAAATCTATCGATAAACACTGATTCTTGCGAAAGGTCGACTGTGAATTTACTGATGGTCTCGAAATATATAGTACTAACTTAGATATAAATGGGCGGGGAATGCGGACTCATTTAAGCTTTTCCAGTTGTACTTACATGTGCTCATATTTACAACGAGTGTAATTACGCTCCGCTCGGCGGTGATCACAATGCTGTGCCGGTTTGTGACAACGATCGAAGGTAAGCTTATGTACTGTCGAATTTGATATGCATTAAATTTAAAAACAAAAACATCTTCCGCACATTAGTATATTGATTTCTTCTCGTCATGTTTTGTCATGATCCTGAGAACCGATGAATTCTAATGCCTTTTCCAATCATTTTGAGGGAAGATATAGGATCTCTGAATTACGCATATCAACTTGGTATTTATTTTCACACTCACCGCTTTTGTATCGGAAATCTCAGTACTCGTTTGTACGATTTCTGCCTGATCTACTAATGGTTAAATACCATGTATTTTCCATGAAATATTTTGTAGATGTCACTTTGTTTACCAAAGTAAAGGAGGATTTTTTATTTTTATGGCCGCGTACATACCCACGATCGTTGTTTTGTAATAACCCGCAAAGAGCCGCACAGCGCTGATCGCGGCCGAGGGTAGTTACACTCGTCGTAAATACCACCACACGTAATTATAACTTAAACGCTTAAATGAGCCAATCCCCCTAAATGTATACCTAAATTTGCACTATATATTTCGAGACCTTTTCTTCGAATTCTTCATGTCTGTGTAAATTCAGTGAACATAAATTTCACACTCAACCTCACGCAGGGAGTGTTTATCGATAGAATTTATCGCATTAATCACACAGAAACTTGAAATTTCAGCGCACCAACATTAGTCACCTCCGTTTCTCATAAAATCACGGCAAAATGCGGCATTCTATGTCCACAGACACTGCTTTTAACGCAGAAACAACTCCACGCCATACATTTCTTTGTAGCGACTCGCAATGTTTGCCCCTGGCGATCCCAGAATCCTGTGCGCAAAACATGGGTATCCGATTACTGGAAAATCATTCATTGTTGTCAGGGTCCTAGAAATTCACCTATCCAAGAAATTAAGTTTTAAAAAACCTCTCTTGCTGATAAAATAAATCATTTTGGTTGGACCTCTAACACTAATCACCTTGCTTCTGGAAGCGAGGTTGCTAACCAGATGGTTAAATTTCATTCATTGTTATTGAGGAAATTGCAGTTAAAGAAAAGCTCACCCCCCGAAACAGTTAGTGATTATAAAATAATTCTGTCCAGGGGGGTTTCTTGGCCATTTATTCTTGAACAAAAGACTATGAGAGGCCATTTGCAACCTGCCTCGTCCATGATCCATGACCTTGAGAGAAAAATAGCATTTTAAAAGGAACAAGCTAATTGATCCTTTGTCCCACTGGTTTTGCCTACTCTCAAGCAAAGAATCATTAAATAACGTGGGTCATGGCTAATTCACGCTGTCGTTTACATCTCTGTATTCTTTGTAATATTATGCACAGGCCCTTGTTAGTTATTACCGTGCAAACGTTTCAGCGGTACTTCGGCCCGGTTTTAGCACAAAATAAGCTCTGGAAGCTTTTTCACTACGCTTTTGGCACCTGTTTTTCTGGTAGGTCTGCCTGGAACGTTTGTTGTAACTTTACATCCACTAATTCATCGGTTCTTTGTCGTGTTTTGACCACTCGGACGTTAAGGGAAGTATGTCAGGATTTTTGGGTATTACATAAAAACCTCAAAAACACATTGGAATCCCAGAAAATCCTGAAAAAGTGGTACAGTTTTATATACAACTACTCAACTGTGGGCCTCTTCAGCTTTCGATGGACATGATAGACCGAAATGGAAAGCAACTTGAAAAAAATTCAACGAATTATTCCATGTTATAAAATAACTGAGATAGTACGCGATAGTACGCGTGATCTGATTGGTCAAAAACCTATGGTTTATTATACCGGTAAACCCATAGAAAAAGGCATCCGGACTACGAGCCATAAACAAAACCGGCTATTGATCTGCAAATAACGATTTTAGAAAGGCTAAAAAACAGAACAAGCTACTTACCCAGCCCTTCTTAATATCAAAAGCGTTGGTTTCCACATTTTATTACTGCCATAGCTTTAGAAGTAATAAAGCACAAAGCTGGAAAACAGTTTACATTTCACGACGATGCCAAATCTCAGAGAAAGACAACAACTGTGTGAATTTCTGGTGTAGAAAGTCTCCAGGAAAACTTAACCATTTGCCAACCAGCAACAAAAAGGATAGTTTTAGCATTCTTAATTTATTTTATGTCAAAATCAAATTCCTTAATGAAAGAAATTGTTCCAAAAAGAGATCTCTGATCAAGATATGGTACAAAATCGGCCCCTGTAGGTTGTAAACAAGCTGCCAACGATGATGAAAGATGTCAGACTTTCGGGCTTGTTTTTTCCAACATTAGAACAAATCATTCGGTGATATCGATGCCATAACCTACCTCAAACCACCTGACTTTACAAATCGACAAATCATGATTAACGCCAATATGTGGCTACGGCAAAGAAACCTTTCTCCGCCACTGACATATTTCCATCGATCGCTGTACGTGCATATAAAGTTACATGTGACAACTTCGCAAATGCAGCCACGTCGTTACCGCAGAATTTCTTGATCATAACAAAGTCCAGAAAACAGATCTTACCACTGCGGCTTGTAAAATGTGAATGAAGTCCTCCATTACAATAGCTGCCAGTTCTGTCTGTAGGCGCGAAATTCTTACGGATCGACTCAACAAAATACAGCTGCGTACAGTCTAATGTTCAATTAATTTCTACTNTAAAAGTTATTTTATAAAAGCAATAGACCACACTTTCTATGGGTTTACCGGCGTGATAACCCACTTGGGATGTTGGGAGAACACTCGAAAAGCTTGTAAATCACTCGCCTTCGGCTCGTGATTTACAAGCTTTTCTCGTGTTCCCCCAACATCCCAAGTGGGTTATCACGCCGGTAAACCCATAGAAAGTGTGGTCTATTGCTTAATTAAACTCCAGTGATTCTGCTTTGTTTTCCCTCTGATAGAATAATCCCATGTCTTTCTGTTAGAGTTCCAACGTATGAGAAGATGTAACTGATAATAATACAGTTGAACCTTTCCACAACGGTAATCCACCTTGGGGACAAAGAAAGTGGCCATTGTTTAGAGGTGGCCGTTATGGGAAGATAGTACATGTTTACTGTGCTAAGTTTGTCCTTACTGTATCTCCTAATTGTAATCCAAGCTTATATAGTAATTATATAGAGATAAAATACATAAAAAAAACTTGAATAATGTTTTGATCAAAATGTTAGCGTGACAAAGCGAGCATGGTTCGAAACATTAGCCATGTAGACAAGCAGCAGTGTAAATGAAACACTTTTAAATTATACCATTGCCGGAATTAGTCATCAACGCGCCATACCGATGAAATTTCATAACCAGTCTTGACTTTTCCATCAGTCGCTGAAAAAAACTGGCCGTTGTAGAGAGGATTTTTTAGCAGTTGGGCACACGCTCTTAGTGGCCGTTGCCGTTGTAGAGAGGTTTAATGCCGTTGGTAAATGTTCGACTGCAACTATAATTTCAGGTCTGCTGAGACCAAAAAAAATGTAGAACTCACCTATTACTATGGCCTATTAAGCCATACACGCCGAACACGTGACTTCAAAACGGTCTTAAGTAGATAGCTCCGATAAATATCTGCTGACAGGAGGATTACTGGCAAGAATTATGGAAGAGAGGAATCGGAGGAATAAGTAGCTGTAACCAGACTCAGTAGAGATAGGAGGACGAGAAAAAAACCTCAAAATAGAATAGAGTTAAAAGATTGATCATTTAATCTTATAAACCTTTTATTTGTTTCCATTTAGGTTTTGTCGGAGTAACATCAAATCTGTCCGTCATGTCTGATGTAGCTGATGTTGCTATAACAGCGTCAACAGCCATATTCATCTTTATAAGTATCGCTGGAAACTTCCTTGTTTGTGTTGTTTTATTGAAGAATCGAGATATGAGGTAACCCCTACAAAACTACTACCCTTTCCAAGTAGTCTACCAACACTGACACATTAACACAAAGCTACACAATACCGAGTTTTAGTCCCGGGGAGCCCGGGTTTTAGTATTTTTCTGATGATTATAAACAGCTCCTGGTTTACCTTTCTGGAATACACTCTTTTTGTTTAATAAGAATGATATTGTTTTCTGTCCCAGGCTGGATATTCTTATTTTTTCTGTCGAGTTTAGGCTGAAAATATTCTAAAATTATTCTTAATAATAAATTATAGCTTATAGCATTTCCACTTAAGATTTGTATTGGGGTTTCAATTGCCAGTATTCTGTGTCTAGATCTGTCTCCAGCGCCGTTTAGCAAAAGGAATAATTTTATACGGTTAAGTCAAAACATATAATTGTGCTGTACTGACGGATTTCCAACGTTCAAATTTGAGTCCTTTTCAAACTCTCAGCGTCAGGTTTATTCTTAAAATATTCTTAAAATTTCTCAAATGTCAGCCTCGATATTCTTATAAAACATGTTCTTATAGAAAAAAAAGAGTGTGGGGGAATACTGATTACACAATGCAACTATTAAGAATACAGATCCATGTGTCTCTCTCATTTTCAAAATCCCAGTTTTTGAAGCACTTTGAAACTTCCTTTCATCTATATCATGCATCCATGGTTTTGTTCTAAAAATCCGTCAAATCAAATTAAAAACCTATTTAAGAACCTAAATAGGCTAAAATCCCACTAAATGGCTTAGCAAAGGTTAGTTTTGAGTTAAGCTAATGAAAGCTTATTTTGCCTAGGACTCCAATAAATTATCTTCTCCTTAACCTAGCAGTGGGGGATATCATTTTCGCGGCGTTTTACATAGCGAACATCATACCGAAAAACAGCTTCACCCTTCCAGAAGGGTTGTCAGGCGGAATATTATGCGTTCTTTTGGCGGATGCAACCTTGACTTGGCTTGGAGGATGTGCTTCGGTTTTCACTCTCGTTGCCATTGCCATCGAACGTTATTATGCTGTTATATATCCCCATGGCAACAAGGGAAAACTAACCATGCGCAAACTGAAGGTACGTGTTAGCTGCAGTCGTTGACAAAGTAAATAAAAAATGAATAAATAAATAAGTAGATGAGTAAATAAACACATAAATCAGTAAAATTATTCGAAGTTTCACACTCACATGGAGATTATTCGTTTACTACCCTTGGACGAAAAGGAATTTTGAAAATGTTATTTGTAAAGAGCAACAAGAGAGGGAAAAAGAGGAGATCCTCAGATCACCGCTTGGAGGGAGGGCAGTGACCGAAAACAATCTTAACACACGTTTGACACCACGAGTCATCATCTAGACTTGTTACAAGTCGACCCCACTAGTTTCTTAGCGAGCGGGGCGAGCTTTAATAAGCTGCGAAGCGGCGAACAAGCGACGAAGTCCCTCGTCCCGCGCCATATTAAATCAAACGAAGGACGTTTTTGAAAGTCTAGTTATCATGCTCTGACATATGTTTATAATAACCAGATATCAAGTCAATGTATATAAGACTGTCTATAAATTGTTGTTGTTTTTGTTGACGTTAAGAGCCCTCAACGTTAAATCCTTTCAATCAGTATTGACAGCTTCATAAGTTTCCCTTCGAATTGTCCTTTAATAGATCTTATTCGTGATAAACGCCAGTTTTGCAAGCGCTTAAGGACTGATAGGATAAAAACGATGTCACTTGGTTTCTCAGGGGGAAAACAAGTGAAAAAAATTGCCAGTGGAAGAAATCGCGGTTGGGATAGTTTATCCTAGACAACAGGAAGACGATAATGTCAAAATATGGGTGGAAATGATCATTGTTAAGTATTTTTTTGCAGTAGCGACCGTACATGTCCTTATGGCAAACAGTAATGACATAACGTCTTGCCAAAACTCGATATGTACATTTTGCATGACTATGAAATCGTCATCTCTTTTCAATAGAATAAACAAACTCGACCGCGATTACTCGTTATCACTTGTTTGCACCCCTGAAATACGACGTGACATAGCTTTTATCCCATCGATCCTAGAGCGCGTGCAAAGATGGCGGGTATCGTGAATAAGGTCTATTTTTACCACTGTACTTTTAAATTCCAAGTATTTTTTTTCATTAATTTTGTGGCATACTTGCCAACTGACTTTACAGTTTGTTTTCTAGTTTGACTGATCTTAGTAGTCATTTTACTAGTTTCTAACGGTCAGTTACTGATAGTACTTGCTGGCTGCCTTAAAGGTCTTCCAAGCATGACAGTTCTCTGTGACAGTTCGCTCTGTTACCCAGGGGTACTCCCTACATGATGGCCTATACGGGAAGGCTACACCCGAAAGGGGTACCTTTTTCAGGCCTCAGGTATACGAAAGGGTAGTGATTTTACTCGTTGAAGTATACGAAAGATTAGGGAAATCTGTCATTAGGGTCTGTGAAAGGGCCTAAAAGTGCTAACAGATGAATTTTGAGGCTTAATAAAGTCGAGAAAATGTTCTATTTTTGCGACTGATTCCTGATTCCGTGCATTTACAGCAGTTAAATGACATGCAAAGTTCTAAACAAGGTATGTGAAATGGGTACCATTTGTCAATAGAACGTATACGAAAGGAATACCTTTTTTGTAAAAAAATAATATACAAAAACGTTAGGGGTTGGACCTCGGGGCGGAGCCTTCGCGCATAAAAATTTGTTAAGTACCCCCCGGTCTCTGTTACCCCTATTTAATTCCGCGGCGTATCTGTTAAGGTGACTATTAAAAAACTTATAGTACAGCATTTAACAAAATTGTCTTAACTTTCAAATTTTACAAATTTTACAATATGTTTAAAGATGGTCATCGCTGGCTCTTGGATCCTGGCCGTGATTCTTCAACTTCGGGAGTACGGGAAAAAAGTGGTTGACAACTCGTGCGTTTATGTGTGGTCTGAAGAGTTTGTGAACTCCTTTAGTTTGATGTGGCATAGCTTTGTGTTTGTTTCATGTATCATTCTGGCTGGCTTGTACTCGAGAGTCGTCCATACGTTGTGGTTCAGACGTACTGATCATGACGAAATAACACACCATCAACAGGTATTGATAAATATAGATGCCTGCAAATTTAGTTGTGCCACGCGACATTATGATAGAATTTGGTCACGTGCTTGGATACCCCTAAGGAACACTCCCAGGGCGGTAAGCTCATCGAGGGGGGGAGGGGGTTCAGCTCGATCACGAAACGTTCAGAGCGATCCTAATTAAATTATTCTGTTTAAGATCAATCGAAATGACTGGACTAGGAGACTGAGCCGTCTGAATTAACTTAGGAAGGCTTCGTTCAATCGCACTCAAACGGCTTTGAGATCGGAATGAACGCTTGCCGGATGGCTTACCATTCAGCAAGCCGTTGCTATGTTGTATCCAAGCATGTGATCGACTTCGTTAAAGAGCCTATTTTGCTACAAAATGTAGGTCTCGTTATTACGAGTCAGATTATTTTACGTCTATACGGTATTTAACCTCAGCCAATAATAACCCACCCAACCCCACCTCCAATAAACCACAAGTCAATGGCACAAAAACACTAAACAGTTCCTCACCTTCAATGAAGCTCCAGCAACAATCACAAAGAAATTTCATTCTTAATTTAAGTTGAAATGTGGCTACAATTCCGAGTTCCCTTGGTTGTAGGCCTTAGCTAGCTATGTCTCACGTACGAACAGTTTTCAAGTCTGCTTTCCGTATAAACTTAACAGTGTAGTTATCTCCCGTGTACAGGGTGTGTTGAAGGTTCGCAAGCGAGTCACTTTGACAGTGGTAATCATAAGTGCTATATTTGGTGTTTCCTGGGGTACACATTCCATACTCCATGTCATGGATGACATTGGCTCGTACAAGCTCAGCCCAATTGCAATTCCCATTTCTCATGTGATGATTATGGTCAATTCCGCCATCAATCCGTTTGCTTACGCTCTGATAAACCAGCGTTTCAGAGACAAGATGAAAGGAATGTTCTGCTGCATTTCAGCGAAGGTCCATCCTGACAGCGAACTACAGGTCAAAAGTATGTCTCTTCCGCCCAACAACACAGAACAATCGAACCTTCCGACATCATGAACTGGATCAGCGAAAATTCCCACATGTTTTGTGTGTTTTTTAATCACCAGCCACGGCAAGCAGTTTTGTCTGGAATTTCCCTCGCAGAATGCCATGATAGGTTCTAATTGATGGCTTCTCGACGTAATGATATTTTAACGTCTTCGGGGAAAATTCAATCTGCAGCCTTAAGGAAACTGTTACTGTTTGTTATTTATTAATCTTTTAACGGAAATCATGTTAACAAGTAATTATGAAAATAGTGCAATGATAAGCAGAGTTAATAGCTCACGTTCGATATATTAAAATTCCAACATGACTCCGAGTTTTCGTTGTGTTCAAGTCTCTTCTGAGAATTGCGTTAGATGCTTCGTGAAATAAGGACTTATACCTTTGTACTACTGTTTGGACGCCTTTTTGAATCAAAGCCTTTTTGTATAAAATTCAAGAGGACTTGATTGAGAAAAGTTTAGTCTAGGCTTTGGGTACTTTACATGACATATTACGTCATAGATTGTTTTGTGACAAATGTATATGAAAATAAATCATATACTTATGAGAACTGCTTGTACCTAATTCATTCTTTCCCTTTTTTATCATTGCTTAGTACAGTCGATGGACTTATTTTGCTAAACCCAAAAGAACAAGAACTTGGATCATCATTCAAATTATTTTTCTATTTTTTTGGCTATAGATTACTACCTCACTCCCAGATACCTGTCTAAGAAAAAAAGATGTTTTGCTGCCTACAATCCTCTACTCTTGCACGTAAAGTACCTGATCATTAAAGTCTGGGCAAGAGTTTGCTCATCCTCGTGTGAAAATGACTTTTCTCCTGATAGTCGATCAGAGGCAATCTTGGAAACAAGAGCACGCTCGCTTGACCTCTCAAAAATATTTAGGAGTTGTGGGTGTTTTAATAAAAATTACAAGGGCTACTGCGTTTGGCGTGGTACGTTAAAATTCTGGCCGACACCTAAAGCCAAGCGAACATTTCTCTGAATCTAAATCTACGTTTAACCCAAACAACTACCAACAATCATGGTCTAAGACGAGTCACGAGACAAACACACAACTTTGGCTATGTTCAAACTGTACCGGATACTGAGCTCTTGCCGGCACGAAAACCATGTACATGTAGGATAGGGTTTCTGTTCACACACAAGAATGGTGATTACGGCGTGATTTCAGCTGTAAAGGAGCGCTGCGCCGCGCCGATCTCGAAAGTGGAGAGTCACATATCGGATAGATGTTCTTTAAGCATCAAAAGCTATCCAGTATAGTGTGATAAATGCCTTGGGGCAACTTTTTTAACCCATAATTTTTGCTCATTTAACCTCTTTAAAGTGGAAATCTGACAACACGGCTTTTCGTTTCAGCTCATGTAGTGTCTTTTTTTTTAACAAGGAAAGGGTTCGATGAGGAATCTTTGCCTTAAATGGTCCAGTCGACGGCTGCAAGAAAACCTAAGCCTTGCTTACGCACCATTAAAAAAAAAAAAAAAACACGTACCTGTAGGACTAGAGCTTATAATTTATTTTAAAAAATAAAAGAAAAGCGTCATTTGTATTAATTGCTTCAAAAAATGTTATGGGTTGTGGGGGGGGTTATTAAAATCTTAAGGGCCATTGCGATTAGTGGGCAGTCTGTCATAATCCGACCTATGAACCTGTAAAGAACTGTAAGGGGTTACCCGGTTGAATGT